CAGTGACGCTGTTGGCCCGAGGAAAGGATCTCATTTCCAGTTTTTCCCCATGGATGCCCTAAATCGTTCCTGAACAATCTGCTGAAAAGAAAGTGCCTCCTTGGTTACGCGTTGTCCGAGTGGGCAGGGGCCCTGGCTCTCCGCCCATCCTGGCACTGAGGCCGCCTCGGACCCGGGGGCCCAGCTGGTGACGAACCGGCTCCTGCCCGGGCCGCAGAGGGATCTGCGGGTCGGCCAGGGCCCGGTTTCCAAGTCACCCCCGGGAGCGCACGCAGGGCCACGGCGTCGATCACCTACGGGGAGAGCGCAAGTGCGTCAGCGGGCGCCCTCGGGGACCGACTCCTCCCGCCGGCTCACTCCCCGCACGACTCCGCGCCGGAAAGGGCCCGGAACTTGGATCCCTGGGCACAGTCGCCCAAGTAGGGAAGGACGGCAGGGACCCCCTGGGTGGGCCGGACCAGGCTGAAGAGCTTGTGCCTAGACTGCGGGGCTGCTTTCTGACCAAATGACACTGACAGCCTCACGGATTTTGCACGGATTGAGCTAGACACGCAGAGTGGGGTCTCCGACCCCCAAACGCGTCTTGCAAGACCCGTTACTGCTTTGGACCAATAGAAGCCCCGCGGGAGCCGTTTCCCGCCCTCTGGCTCAGTCCGGCCTTTTCATTGGTGGTTCCCAGAGCAGTCGCGACTCGCTCGCCACACAGTGGCCAATAGGAGAGGGAGTCAGAAGCGTTGGAGGCGTGGCCTCCTAGGAGCGCCGCCGCCGCCTCCGCGTTCGCCTGGAGCGGCGGCCTCGAGCTCCTTCGGTTTCTTTCGGCGCCTTCCCCGGGGCCAGAGTCGCTTTTCGTCTCTTACCACCGCCATCCTTTAATTTTTTCCGCCCGGCTCTGGCGCGTGCGCACTTCAAAGGGGAGGATGGCCCCGAGACCAGAGCGCGAAGAGAGGGGGAGGGACCCCAAACGGCGGCCGTTCGGGTCGGCGGGGCCGGGAACTGCGCGAGGCGG